ATCGTTGATGAATGTAAGATTTGATTCCAAATTCTCTATCTAATTGATTCTGACTGGAAAGTAACAAGAACCTATTTTTTTTCATAGAAGATAATGCATACTTATTGAAAACATTTTCAATACCCTATTGACCCGTGTAATATGACGAATAGAATATCCGCTACATACTGTATATAAGCTTTTTGATGGCTATGGAGAGGGTATACATATATAATATGTAAGTGTAAAAGATATATATATACCTTTTTGGTCTTTTGGAAAATGTTGTTTGTGCTGTATTTAGACCCCTCTAACAAGAAATTTGTTTTGCATGCACACGTATAAAAATTGTGGTTTTTATCCAACGCAATCATAGGTTTGAACGTTGTTTTCAATTTAGACTTGTTTTATATATATATATATAAACACACAGAGAGAGAGAGAGAGAGAGAGGTGAAACAACATTTGTTAACATACTGCTACTTCGAAAAGAGCAAACAATACCAAACTCAAAGGAAAATTCAAAACGGAAAATCACTTAACAAATGGCAAAATCAAAATCTCAAACACATCAAACGAATGGAAAACAGCTGTCATATTCCTGACTTGTTACAGGCATTTCCTTATGTAGAAAATGGTGAATTAAACCTGGTTTTATAGCTAGCTAAACCTCTCACGTGTATGGCAGTCGCATAAAATTCCATTATATTGACAACAATGTGTAAGCAAAACAAACAGACATAATAGGTAAAAATGTCAAAAATTGGGGTACGGCAGTCAACATTGTGAAGGGGGTAAGGTATTTTTTTACGAAATGGTTTTGGAATTAGAACTTACCTTAATTCTTTTGCGTTTAAATACAGTGGAACGCTAAAAGCACCTGCAAGTTAATTTACAGAATTTACTATGAAGAACAAAATCAGCAAGGTGAAAACGAAAATTGAATAGGTGATTGTGTGAAGTCTATGCATAGAAGATGCTTTCCTAAAAATTTCAATATGAAAAAAGACCCCCCCCTCCCAAAAAAAAAATAAAAAATTCATATGGTTAACTAGTTATTAGGGTACTTCTTTTAAATTTTGACGCTTTTATTTAATTTTCCCCAATTAGATTCAGTGATTTTCATATTTTAATTCTTAATTCACATTAATCAGATAATTTGAGATACATAAAGAATGATGTTAATTTGGATGCGTGTTTTTCATACTTGAATGACCTTATAAATGTGTTAATACTAAATATAGAGTAAGTATTTATTACATTTTCCATAGATTAGACAACTAAAAGTAATACATTAAACTAAACAATTTTTCAAACTCTATATGCTAAAAACATGATTTTTGGGGTAAGGGATTTCTGGTTTTTTGAATATTCATAGAACTTATATTTACATTTACTCCGCATAAACGGAAATTTCAAATATTTTTTCATAAATACGCATATTTCAAAGGATACAAAAGGGGACAACAGATGACGGATGCCAAGTCAGGTTTGTTAGTTGATATATTACTTTGAAAGACTCAAAACATAAGACATTGTGATCAAAAGCAGAATACAGAATTCTACTAAAGCGACCTGCCACAAGGAAAGTAGAATACAAATAAAATTGAAAATTTATAGGAAAACAGGACAGATATTTAATAAAGATATAAAAAAATCTTTGGCAATGAAAACTAAACCAAAAGTTAGCCAGGTACGAGTAAAAATATTTCGACCCTCATACGTTTTAAATATTCACTTCGGAGGTAATAAAACAGCTTATCTAAAAACATAGCTGACAGTGTACAAAAATAAACAACTATAACTGTCCTTTCCTGGATTACTATACATGTATTTCAGTTTTACAGGGGAAACTCTACAAAAAAAAATTACATTAAAAATGACGATTTTTCGTTCCCTATTGTAAATTTTCTTTTTTTTTGCACGGTATTGTTCCTTTGGTCCCATCTTACGGTGCTTGTATATCCCAACTCGTTTGCTATGCCGTGTCTGTAGTGAGGTTTTGGATTTCAATGAACGTTATCTAAGTACAATGTATTACTGGTAAATTATTAAGTCAAAGATTTCTTTACCTCAAATTACTTTGAACCTTTACTAAATTCTTTCATAGATACAAAGATCTGGTTTGGAAGTATTACAAACGGAATAGCACATCCTAATTTTTAAAGTGATATTTGGGTTCTCAATGCTCTTCAACTTCGTACTGTATTTGGCCTTTTTAACTTTTTTGATCCGAGGGTCACTGATGAGTTTTTTGTAGATGAAACTCGCGTCTGGCGCAAAAAATGTTAATTCTGGTATTTATGCTGAGTTTCTTTACCAGGCCTGTAAATTTAGTTACGATCCTGGTAACTTTATCGATCCTTTAAACAAACCTATTCCTTAAGGTTAACAATGTAAAACTGTAATTAGATCTTTGAATATTGTTCCATCGGTATAGATATTTATATTGTTACCAATAAATCAAAACCCAACTAAATATTATTGCTATACACATATGTACATTCACGGTCCTACATTCTGTCGATACTTATATTTTGGCATTGCATAAGGTCATGTTTTTCTCTGACTGTTAATGACGTCTTTACACAATTCCATTGGATGTTGGATGTTAACTGTTTGATATGTTAGTTTATGATACATGATACATTGATTGTTATTGACTATGAATTAGCTTCTAGGGGGAAGGTTGGGCGCCCACACATATATTTAACCTATCCAAATTATGTATGTGCCCGTTCCAAGTCAGGAGCCTGTAATTGAGTGGTTATCGTTTGTTGCTATTCATCAAATTTATTTTTCGTTTATTGTTTTGTACAATTTGTTCTTGTGTTGTTTCATTGCACCACTGTCCAAGGTTTAGGGGAGGGTTAGACACCCGCTAAAATGATTAACCCCGCCACATTCTGTACGTGCTTGTGCCAAGTCTGTAATTCAGTGGTTGTCGTTTGTTGTCATATCATATTTGTTTTTCATTTATTGTTTTGTACATAAATCAGGACGTTACTTTTCCCGTTTGAATTGTTTTATATTTGTCATTTCAGGGCCTTTTATAACTTGCTATCCGGTATGGGTTTTGCTCATTGTTGGAGGCCGTATGGTGACATACAGATGCTTACTTCTACGTCATTCTGTCTCTGGTGAAAAAGTTGTCTCAATGGCAATCATACCACATCTTCTTATTTTTATATTACACATAAATTACGGATGTGCACATATTCCAACAAACTGAGATATTACTTTAAGTTATAATAATATTTAACGACCCGATGTTCATGATCGTATCTAAGAGACTGTTATGAAACCCGACAATTACCATTTGTATATTGAGAGATTTTCTATAGATGATACCCAGACTTATTTTGAAACATTGCATTTTTCTGTAGCTCTGTGATAGCTGAAATAATCTTTTTTTGCATAAAGTTTAATTCTAAGCCTACCCTCGATATGATGCAGACGTAACTGTATCTGTTGTTTCCTTAATTTCAAGTTCGATGGGATAGATGCGTTTAACATAGTCACCAAAGTTTGAATTATTTAGTAAGAGAACATCCTCCATTTAGAGGAACGTGAAGTGAAAAAATAATGCTATCTTCTTTTCATTCTATATAAGAAGCTCCTGTATGAAGTCTGCCTTAAATGAAAAAGGGAAAAGTCGGAAAGAAGATTGATTCCTTTATGAATGCCGATTGTTTGTTGAAAAACACGTCCTTTAACGTAAGTAAGATGTTGCAAATGAAAAAATAAAGCATCTTCATAATGTCAGTTTAATAGTATCTTTTTCTTTGAATCAGAGTGAGTTCATACCCCCCCCCCCCCCCCCCCCACCAAAACAAAATATTTGTTATATTTTGTGTCTACGTTGGCCATTCCTTTTTATGAAACAAAGTAAGACTAATTCTTTCCATTTATCTTTAAGTTTTGAAGTTTTGAATAGGGAATACTTGTGTTAAGGGTCGAAAAGTCAAATGTTTTTTTACTATTGCAAGAGCAAAGAGACTTAGATTGTATGTACTGTGATATATATTCGGCATTTTAAAGTATCCACATTTGATTCACACCGCCCCTAGAGTAGGTAGTTTAACAATATCTGTGAAACCCAGCTATTATTGCTGATTAAATTGATGTTAACGGTTTAGAAAGAGGTTTCGTGGAGCACTTGGAAGACTCAGCAATATACCTTGCTTTTAAGGACACTTATGTACTTTGTGTATCCTATAAAGTGACGGTATATCCAGTTGTTCATCCTTGGTTGAAATTCAAAAGGAAAACAGAACAGACAGTAGGGTTGGCCATAGAATAAGTACCAACAGTCCATACATAGTGTGTTTAGCCTAGTTATAAACGCAGTGAGACATCATGGAGTAGGGGGTGTATAGTAACGATGAACCTGACTGCGTCAAAGCCGAGGAGCAGAGTTGAAAATATTCATCACATTCACCGAGCTACAGTAAGGACTAGATATTATGCTTATTCCATCAATTTTGTCATTGCAACCATATGGTATCGTAGTTCCCAATTCTCGAATCCGGTATTTGTCCTTTTGAAAATGAGGATGTTAGTCCTGTATATATTTGTTTTCCGACAATCTTTCTTTATGTCCTAAAAATGTCATACAAAATTATGATGCTGATTGTCAAAGCGATAATATTCCTAAAAAATATTGTTAAGGAACTTGATCCCTATTATCATGAATTGAGTACTATAGTAATTTTAAAAGCTTATTCGACGAATCTATCTATATTTGGATAAATTAATTCACAGCGATATTTATAAAATGTCAACCAAACAATTCAAACGCCCACTGCCACTAGTAAATAAACTATTTATATAAAATTAAGGAGATGTAGAATGATTACAAATGACACAACAGAGACCAAATGACGATATAAACAACTAACACATAACACATATCGTATAGTAAGCTTTAAAAAGATCCGCCTTTATCAAATGTTAAACGGAAATTTAGTTTGTCATGGCGGAAAAAAAAATATATATAGTTATATATGTATGAAGCTTTATTAACATGCAGTAAGTCCACTAGGTGTGTTGGGTTGATTATTCGTGTACATTTTTGATAATTCATCGAACAACCAGGGGTCACGTTTCTGTAGATAAGCTCTTCCTTCTGATTCACTCCTACATACATATTGACCGTTGTTACACCTATAAATTAACAGGCATACAATGCATTCTCTTACAAACAAATAAAAAAGATTAATAACTGGCTTATTTCTATTTATATTATATACTTAATAAAAATTGAAAAGATAAAAGATTATAAGTTATATGGATTCATAGGGGTCAGCAGCGAACCGTATAACGAATTTATAGCACAGGGGACTTTTCTTGCAAACTTTTGTAAAAAGTGTTGAAAATATATATGAAATACTATAACAATAATAGTAGATAAGACGTCATGATACCCTATGAAATCTACTAATCACCACGTGACGGCGTTAAACCAATCACATCGTCACTGATTTACCCGAGGTGCATTAAGATATTAGAATGTCGGTTTTTGAAAAACTATTACGATCCCCTAAATGTTCACAAGACATAAGATTTTCAGATATCGGCAATATCATATAAGTATTTGGTTTCTTTTTGCTTCATGCTTTCAAACTACATGCATTTATAAAGAGAAAACTATTAAAATGCTGAAATAACCCATGTTTGTAATATCGTCATTCATATGAGTGTATGAGTAATAGCCTAGCTGACCAAATATGTTTGCATACAAATGATCTACAGGAAGATTTTGATGAAAGAGTCATGTATTTTTGAGTAAGACTGTTGCTCATATTTGAATGAGCCAAAAACTGTTTTGGTCAAATATGTAAATTACCACTTGTTCGTGACGTCACAGTGTTATTATACATATCACTTACGAATTTGAATGGTCATTATATATTGTATTATCATTTATCAATATAATCAGCAGGATTGTGAAGAATTTGACTTAAGAAACACTTCTTTGTTATCTTTATATGATATTATGATGTATATGAATTCTAACTTGTAATCAAATTTATTCCTTTAATTTCATAATTTTTTAATGTTATAAGTTGGGTCTAATATCATAATATGCAAGTACAAACTGCCTATCTGAAACACCCGTCACAGCTAATTATCAAAACTGTTGTGATAACTTTATGTCTCCAATTCCGTTTATTATAATATTATTCAACACGAAAGATTATCATGAGTTAAGTTTATTTAGGATAACATATTCTAAGCATATTGCATATTAAATAATTAATTGATAATCAAATAATGTGAGTGTCTTATGTAAATTTGCACGTTCTTATTTACACTCATATCCAATGTAAAGGATAGCATATTTGCCTTGACCGTATTTGTTTAAAAGATATTTTAAACCTCCAGAAAAAATTTACCTGAGATTGATTTGGCTCTTCTTTCAATGATCCTTTTGGTCATATAGCTCTTCGCGTGTTCAGGTTTTTATAAATCCTTGGCTTTAAAAATTTTTGGTTTGAGTGTTCTTCGTGAAGGTTAATCTCCTTGAAAGCACCAAGTTTATAAAGTGTTATTGTAATTTAATAGAAGTCATTTCGATGCAAACTTTATCATTTTGTGTAGAACTAGTTTCATCTATCGCTGAAAACTATCTGTTAACTCTACACGACTCTTTTGTGCTTGTGTTTTGTTTGATCGCCATGTCAATGTAACATATTCCAAATTTTCCCTAATGTTGTGGAGAGTAGTTTTTGTTGTGGTTATTTAAACTGAAGATTACAATGCATTACAACTTTGTTTTTGTCCTGAAAAACTATAAGGAGAGAGAGAAAGAGATGGACACCTGATTAAATATAAACCATTATGCATCGGTCAAAGATAAAACATAGTACACAGTAATATACTAACATGTTTAGACCACCTGTAACATCGGACCTGCCAGTAACGTGGAAGAAAGCTTGAGTCGCCTCAGCCCAAAACTCAGTAGGGTTGGCCATAGCATAAGTACCAACAGTCCATATATGATGTTGTTTTGCATAGTTATAAACGTAGTCAATCTACAACGGCATCAAAGGTCATGCAAACTGTAGTTTATATTAGATCTGTTTAGAATATCTGCACATTGGTCGCTTTCATTTACTTGGACAGTACCAACAACGACATAAAAGCAATACTTTTTATCAATGACTTCATATCTAACGGTTTTTTTTTCCTTGCTGTAAATACCTTTATGTTTCCTTTCAAAAACACAAAACAAGGGTGGGCTATCCATTTATTTATATTTACTGGTGACATATCTTGGTTTCGAGCCTACCTGATGAAAGTATTCAAGATATATAGTACACGTGTACTCATATCATATTTTTTAACAACCGCTCGGTTAGAATTGCCGCTGATAGTCTACCAGTCCCAAATAGTACTACGGTCCAGTAGCCAGCATTTTTGTATTAGCATTATTCAAATAATACTTCTTCCAAATAATTCTAAGGTCATGAAATATTGTAAATATACAAAGGCTAAAATTGAAGCTACCTCTGGAAAAGTTGGCTCATTCAGATTTGTTGTTCTTTAATTTTATAAACGTCTAGCATTTCAAATTTTTGGTACTCTGTTTAAAAATGTTGAATTATTCGATACACTGTGGTTTTTTGACCCCCGGGTATAGATTGCTGTAGCCTTGTTTGGCTCAACTTTTTGGAATTTTCTTTTTTTAATGCTTACAACTTTGTTTTTGATTAAGACTTCTAACTGCATCGATTTGAGCGTCACTGTTGAGTCTCGTGTAGACGAAACGCACGTCTGGTATCTTTGATGAGTTTTCTTTTTAATTATTTAAGCTATGAAAGGTAAAAATAAATACCCTGTTGTGATCTGACGATGGCATGTAATTGTAAATCTGGTGAGCAAACTCGTGCACCAAAATATTCTCGGCTCCAGGAAAATTGTTACAGATTATTCTATCTTCTCGTACACCAGACAAGCTGTTGGTTACACCACCAAGGTCTTCCATCTTTCTCCCATCAGAAGTACAGGTAGATCGACATGAGCCAGAACAAGAACCTGGTGAAGAACATGTGGAAATGCAAAAATAGAGGACATATTTGGTTGTTTAAAACGTCTGTGAGTCCGTCTATGTTGTATTTTGTAGAGTGTTGTTTGTCTTTTGATTGTTTTTTGACATGTCATTCATTGTCAGTTCGTTTTCGACTTATAAGTGTGACTATCCCTTTGGTATCGTCCGTCTCTCTTTTAAATCAGTATTCAGTAGTTGTAATACTGTTTGTTGGAACATATGATTTTTCGGAGATATTTCTCAAATTGTACCAGATAATAACAGATGGTCAACTCAGTCGATTGTACCTTACTTATGACGAAAAGGTACGTTATTATCAATTATAAATAATTGCTTCGCTTGAACAAAGATAACTTAATTAACAATATACATTATGAGATTAGAACATGTTAACAAATCACAATCGCTATCAATTAATAAGGTGACCAACTCAAATTTATAAATTTTACCATGTTAGAAGCCACCTATAAGTTTACCGATGTTCAAATATCATAAATCGATTAAGAAGATACAAAACCAGGTAACAAACAAAAACTCTGGGAACCAAAAAAAGGAGCGAGACCGGGTACGTCGACAAACAAAAATCGTCTCCTGCTATGCACTCTTCATCCGCTAGGAAAATTCACTCATTTCAAATGCCACAATCGGCAAAATTACAGGTCAGGGACATTTTAGTATCTAAAGATCTACACAGACACATCGTACTTGTTATCCAATTCGTGATGGTGATCGTGATGATTTCAGTCATTCTTCCTAATAACTATGTTGGAGTAGTATTTGTGCAAGGTGCTCACCCCTGTTAATGAAATCAGTATAGTGTGAACATACAGGACCGCAGCGTATTAAATGAGATATGTAAACAACATACGATAGGGCAGAGAGTATGTTACTGCTCAGAAATAAGAATTTGACGATTGGAAAGTTGAAATCCTCATGTATGTCATAGATTCTAGTCTCTGTCAATATTTATGAAAAGATTAAGAAATAGAGCAGACTTTCTTTTTTCGGTGGTATCCTTAATCTCAAGTTCACTTGGATATATGAGATGCAAGCACTTATTTCTGCTTCATATGAGTACAAAAACAAGTCAGTATAGTTCCACAAATAGAACCCATTGGAAAACCGACTATCTGTTGAAATGTCAGTCCAACAACCTCAACAAATATGTTGTCGATAAAAAAATCCAGCATTTTGATGATATTCTTTGGAGTATTTGTTGTTGCAAAAAGTAATAATTTTCATGACCATTAACAAGACATGTGTATCTATGATTCCCAGTTTAGTAGAATTTTCAGCATATGAAATACTAGCGCGTGAGTTTGGTCACATTACTGTAGAAATATTATTTATGAACTCATCGACAAAATGAACGTGTGGAGAGGTACATAATTGAGACTTGAAATGACTATTTTACGCATTGGTTAGTGAAAAACTAATATGAAATACAAACTATCCAAACTATATATTTTACTTTAATCTGTACTTTTGTAAAGAAAATTACCTATTCGGTTGGGCTCAGTCTCATATTATAATGCAAATTGCACGACCTCAAAGTGTGAGTATTCATGGTAGTTTGAATTAAATGCTTGAAGGAAATTAAAAAAAATATATATACTTGTATCTGAGAGGCAAATGCCTTGCGAAAATCATTTATTTTTGATACTTGTTGACCTTTAATTTTAATGGTAAAACAATTCCAATATCATACCTTCATTTTTGCATATGGTAAATCTTAATTTAAGGAGTCTCATACGAAACAGTTAAGTGAATGGTTGGGCAGTAATCTTTACATAATTAACATATGTTTACGTAAGGATTGATCATTGAATGTATATCTTTATACAGTTTTTGCGACCGCGATATTTTATGTTATATCTGTGTCATAGGTGATCACGGATACTAAGTATGTTCCAATTGCTGTAACCACAATCTCATTCCCCTTTCTCGATTGTGACAGCACCGAATGAGACTTAACACTGGATTTGTACTTGTGTATGTGAGCAACACACACAACTGATGGCACATGAGGAGCAGAAATTGCTAACCCTTCTAGAACACCTGATATCACCCCTGGTTTTGGTGGGGTTTATGTTGCTCAGTTTTCAGATTTCTATGAAGTGGTTTGTGGACTTGTTCAGCATTTTGTACTTATATTCCCTTTTTATTCATGGCGTTGAGGGTTTTTCTTCGACTTAGGAGTTTTTAATGTCCGTTTTGTATATTCCGCCTCTTTTCATAGCTCCAATCTTTAAGACTTAGATAAGGTATGTTTCACACAGTACCACAATTATGTAAACTAAAAGACAGAATAGCGTTGGGTATTTACGTTGTACTTGTCATTCTTATACTCTATATACTCAAAGAACTTACTTCCACAACTGGCTTTATTTCTCAAGGAGTAAAATTCTGGAAAAACTGTTACTTTTTCATTGTGACAAAATATACCAATGCCGTGACCACGAGAAGCAATCCCACTAAAAACATTGGAAGACATGTGTTTTACCATAAGTCCAATCATCTGTGCTGCCTAAAACATTTCAATGATATTGATGAATTATATAGAACAAATGATTAATTAATTATAACCGGAAAGACAAATTTGAAAACATGTATTACTGTAGTTTTATGATAGCATCTATTGAAATATCTTAAGAATAAATAGTTTATAGAATTAGGATTTTGAATATCAAATAAAAATTTCTTACCTTATAATGTGTTGTTTGACTAACACACTGGGTAGCTGCTATTTTGATTGATGGGTTAACATGTGAGGTATAGATTTGTCCGTTGTGATTCACATAATAATATTTGAATCCTGCTCTAACATGATGAGAGTCATTTTGTTGATGGATAGATGATTCTTCACCTAATTCTCTATATAATGGAAACAATAAAAATCTAGTGCTCATTTCAAAGAGGCTATAATATATAATAATGAAAATTGCTAACACAATCAAATAACAGAATCCTTTAGAATATTCAATGTGTGTGTGTGTGATAGAGAGAGAGAGAGAGTATTATTTTACAAACCTAATTTGGATTTGGAATTACCTTAAATCTTTTCTGTTTAAAAACGATACCTCGCTTACCGCATCTACAAGGCAATTAACACACAATAAATGAAATCGGCATGATGTAAAATGAAAATTAAATTGATTCAGAAGCACGTATAATACGAAATTATTATATCTAGTTCTTAGCTGCTTTAAACTTTCCCCGACAGTTTGATTATTTCTTATTATCAACGTGTGGTTCGTTTGATCTCAGTTCTTAATTGGTCAACATTCAATTATGAATTAGTATTTTCTTGTTTTTCTCTGAATATCTTATGTGACGTCACGAAAAAAAACGACCATGCCTGATGATGTCACATAGAAAAAACACACACCTTTTTGCCGACTGTTAAAAAATAATTGAAGTTTGTCTACATATAGTCTAACATCATCAGAGAAACAGATTCCACCATCGAATCTTGTGCAATACGATATTTCTCCATTTTCGATCGACAGTTAAATTTTAAATATTGGTAATATTGATAATATCGTATCACACTAGATGCAGAGGTAGAATCTATATGTATATCCGGGTAAAAATTCAGCGCATAGTAATATATCAGCTACTCTTGGTAATAAATTACTTTCAATATACACGAGAAAGATGCATACAAATTTAGTGAGAAATAGAAAAAAATCTTAAAAAATCTTATTGTAACGGTTACAAGTAATTTTGAACACGTTTTTAAATTTTCACGCAAATCTGTTTTCTGCTCTGTTTCAAAGCCAAGAATTATTGGAGTAATCGGGATGTAATTTGGCAAGGGTTCTTTTATTTTCATACAGGGGCATTACCTACTGGTTAAAAAAAAAAATAAAATATCATTATTTTTTGTTCAATCATTAATGAAGGATTAGGGATAAATATGTATAGTGAAATGATAATTCGATTTTAGCAGCCAATTTGGTTCAATTTTGTCAAAATAAGCTAAGAAACATCGCTGATGAATTATTCACTTGCAAGTAAATAATTCGACCTTATTGAATCCGTATTCATGTGACCTTCAATTTAACCACTTAGCTTGAGATGAGTTACGAATGTATTCAGATATTAAAAGGAAAAGAATGTCAACATTGAAAGTGAAACAAGGATGGACCATTTGGTTGGCTGATTCGATCAACAAAAAAATCATTCTTATACAGGTAAAAACGATGATAAACATAGTTTTAAACCTACAATATGAAATCAAACAGACCAAGAAAAATCCAATTGCACGTGGTCGCTATCTGTTTATATTCATATTAATGTTTATATCGGGTTATATGACCTCGACAGTCTTCGGAGGTCATCTCGATGTTTAATTAGATGACGTCTAGACAAAAATACACACGAAATGTTGATACATATTATCGAGTTCATGCATTATTGATTGTAAACATCAGTTTAAAAGAAGTCCGAGTCCGATGTCAGAATAGGTAACAAAAAAAAAACTAAGCAAAATGACAATGATACATAAATATATATTTCATGAGATTGGCTAAATACGGTTATTTGATAAGTATCAATTCTGATAAAGTTTCGATTAAAAAATTAAATTTAAACAGTTACGAATTTAAAATCTTAAAACTTACTTGACAAAATTGAAAGTGTCAAAGATAGAAGTATCAGCATGACTGTTTGTTTGTGTACAGAACCAAAAACTGTCACCTTAAGTTAAAGTGCACACATATATATACGTCTGTAATCTGGTTTTGACCTACTGCCATACAATATGATAAGGTAATATTTGACTAGAGTATAACGGTTTGTATAGATACAAAATATAGAACTTTTCTCCGCGCTAATCTCCAAGAAACATACATTAGTAGTATAAAAAAAAAACAATTGCAGCTTTATTAAACATCCTTCATTTTACTTCAATCTACAAGATAACCAAAAATAAAAAAGGTACAAGGGAAATGGTTGATTCATATATGCAATCGATACAATGTTTGATTGATGTTCTTTGTAAAAGAGAGGCGAAAGATACCAAAGTGACATCCAATCTCATAAGTCGAAAATAAACACCGCCATGGCTAAAAAATAAAAAGACCAACAGCCAAAAAAAGTACACAAAACACAACATAGAAAACTAAAGACTAAGCAACACGAACCCCATCAAAACTGGGGGTGATCTCAAGTGTTCCGGAAGGGTAAGCAGATCCTGCTCCACATGTGGCACCCGTCGTGTTGCTCATGTTAGTACAAATAGTTATCAAAGGTACCACGATTGTAATTTAATACGCCAGACTAGCGTTTCGTCTTCATAAGACTCATCAGTGACGCTCAGATCTAAATAGTTATAAAGCCAAACAAGTACAAAGTTGGAGAGCATTGAGGACCCAAAATTCCAAAAAGTTGTGCCAAATACGGCTAAGGTAATCTATTCCTGGGATAAGAAAATCCTTAGTTTTACGAAAAATTTAAAGTTTTGTCAACAGGGAATTTACTAAAATGACCATACAATTGATATTCATGTCAACACCGAAGTGCTGACTACTGGGCTGGTGATACCCTCGGGGACGAAACGTCCACCAGCAGTGGCATCGAACCAGTGGTGTAAATAGTTATCAAAGGTACCAGGATTATAATTTAATACGCCAGTCGTGCGTTTCGTCTTCATAAGACTCATCAGTGACGCTCAGATCTAAATAGTTATAAAGCCAAACAAGTACAAAGTTGGTGAGCATTGAAGACCCAAAATTCCAAAAAGTTTAGCCAAATACGGCTAAGGTAATCTATTCCTGGGATAAAAAAATCCTTAGTTTTACGAAACATTTAAAGTTTTGTCAACAGGAAATTTACTAAAATGACCATACAATTGATATTCATGTCAACACCGAAGTGCTGACTACTGGGCTGGTGATACCCCCGGGGACGAAACGTTTACCAGCAGTGGCATCGACCCAGTGGTGTAAATAGTTATCAAAGGTACCAGGATTATAATTTAATACGCCAGACGTGCGTTTCATGTTCATAAGACTCATCAGTGACGCTCAGATCTAAATAGTTATAAAGCTATAATTTAGTACGCCAGACGTGCGTTTCGTCTTCATAAGATAGTTCATGTTAGTACAAACCCGGTAATAAGTATAATTCGGTAGGTCATATTCGGGAAAAAGGGGACAGGATTGTTGTTACGACATTTGGAACATATCCGATATATCTGTGAAACGAATATTCCATAACGGCCAACCTACTCGTGATGGCGTCCGTAAAATTTACGAAGGAATGATTTCAACTTCACCACTTGGAACTCTTGGTTTAAAAGCTTCCTTGTGAGCAGAAGCCCTCTAGATAGGAAATACAAGCCCTGGAATATCGTATCAACTGGGAGATATATACTCCGAATGCAGGCGCTGCTGGAATGTTGCTTCACCACACATACCACACGAATGTATCAGCAATTGAATCATAAAAGGAAATATACGGACTGTATATGCTATTTATCATCACGCTTAACCTACCCCTTTGCGTACATTTTGATTTACTTCTCGGAATTGCTTTACACATAAACCCTTAAAATCATTACTTTTCCAACATTTTGAAAGTATAACAATATCATAAGTGTTTATATAACTAATAAATGCCTCATCATCCAGTTTATTTTGAAAACCAATTATGATCAAATTTATTCAATGCAATAGACTATCCATTGTTTGAAGTAGTATTTAATTCTTGCCGATTCATGGTTGTACTCGTTACTCGTTACATGATAGACCTCTATAACCTTGTGAAATCTTCATCAGAAAGGAATCAGGGTTTGGCGCGACCTTTAGTTAACAGCTAAAGATTACAATTGACATTGAAAGTATTTACGAAGAAATCACAGATAGTGAACCTTGCCAATATCTGAGACAACTATAACATGTGTTATAGTAATCTCAGCCAACACCAATAAGTCAATAAAACATGAAAATGATTTCAAAGTCATATTGTTTCTGTCAGACGGACATCTTCACCTTGCGCTCATTCTAGACACCCAATATTGTTGAATTGGTACTTATAATAGTATCTAAGAAACGGACACAATCACGAAAATTTAACGTATACTAATGCACCTTGAAAATTAGGTCAAGGTCAGATGAACCGCGTATGACACCGTACAACCATTGTATATACACCCTACAGTGTTCACTTGTTTCTTATCATAGTACCTTATCATGGAAACATTGTTTTAAAAAGAAGGCTGAAGATACGAAAAGGAGAATCAAAACTCAAAATAAGTCAAAGAGAGACCGGTAAAATCATGGCAAAAAACGAAAAATGTCAAAAAGACAAACAACCGTGTATAAAAACACTACATAAAACTTAAGACTAAACAACACTAAGCCCATCAATAACCGGGGATGATATCAGGTGCTCCAAAAGGATAAGCATACCCAGATCCAATTGTGGCATCCGTCACATATTCATAGATAAATATAAAAATAAATATTCTTAAAAAAATTCTAGTAAATATTCTTAAAAAAGCAATAATTAAAAGAAAATAAAACAGACAAGCTTTAGAATATTGCCTTTATATTTGGGAAACAATTTTTGTCTTCAAGTAGGTACAATAAGTATGATTACGTATATGATTCAATTTTCACAGTTTAACTGGAATCTTTCTTTTCTTTCTTTTTTGGAAAAAAATGAAACAATGTAAAAAAAACCAACTCTTGATTGTGAACAATTTCAAAACTGCCAAATTAGTAAAATTTAACCCAACCATTTTATTATGAATTGTAAAAAGTATGTAAAATAAAATCTTGACATACATGTCCTTAGTAGCCACAAACTAGGAAACAAAGCAGTTACAACTAATGTTACGATAATTTATTTTCATTGTATGCACTATATGAGCTACTTAAATTTAGGAAGATAATATTTAACTCTGCCTTTGTTGACTTTGAAAAGGCTTTTGATTTTATTCAGAGAATTTTTTTATTATTTAAACTTCTAAAGAATAAAATAAATAATACAAACGGCAAATTTTTCCGTATTATATAAAATATATACGAAAATGTAAAATCACGCATTATATTTAATGGTGAGAAATCAGAGTTATTTGATTGTGAAATGGGTGCAAGACAGGAAGAAAGTATTCCCCCTGCTCTTTTCGCAATATTTTTAAATGATTTACAACATTTTTTTGAAGGCAAAAATGTACTTAGTGTTAGCTCTATTAGTGATGACCTTA